CTGGGGACACTGGAGGGACACTGGGGGGACACTGGGGGGACACAGGACTGGGGCCAGGAGTGACCCCCGGATTTGGGGTTGGGGTCCTGGAGGGCTCAGGGGGGTCCGGGGGTGACCCCAGGACAGGGTCAGGGGTCTCCTGGGTGGGGCTGACCCCTCCCCAGGCCCTCACCAAGGAACCATTCCTGTGTCCCCTCAGTGACCCCCAGTGACCCCTCAGTGTCCCCAGTGTCCCCCAGTGTCCCCTCAGTGTCCCCCCGTGTCCCCTCAGTGTCCCCCAGTGTCCCCTCAGTGTCCCCCAGTGACCCCACAGTGTCTCCAGTGTCCCCTCAGTGACCCCTCAGTGTCCTCAGTGTCCCCTCAGTGACCCCTCAGTGACCCCTCAGTGACCCCTCAGTGTCCTCAGTGACCCCCAGTGTCCCCTCAGTGTCCCCTCAGTGTCCCCCAGCCAGTGTCCCCTCAGTGTCCCCTGTGTCCCCCAGTGTCCCCAGTGTCCCCTGTGGCCGTCCACACCATGGACCTGCTGCCGCTGACCCTGACCCTCCTGGTGATGACAACTCCCCTCTCGATGACCACGATGACCTCGATGACCTCGATGACCACGATGACCTGGATGACCACGATGACCGTGATGACCACGATGACAGTGATGACCACCACGACCGCAGTGACCGCGGCCACCACCGTCCCGGCCACCGTCCCCACGCCTCTGCTGGTTCCTCTGGACATGGCCCCGGACTCCTTCGATGACCGGTACCGGGGCTGCGGCCGCGCCATGACCGCGGCCCTGCCGGCCCTCAACCGCTCCGAGCTGCTCCGGGGCGGTCACTTGGCCGAGGCCTGGGCCCTGGCCGAGGCCGAACGGCGCGTCCGGCCGTCCCCGGCGTCACCCGCGTCCCCTCTGTCCCCGGCCCAGCTCACGGCCCTGCTGGCCTACACGGCGCCGGTTCCGCTGCACCGGACCTTCAACGCCGCCGTCCGCGCGTCCGGCCGCTCCGGCCGCGAGTACCGCCACAATTTCCACTTCAAGGCGCTGCATTTCCTGCTGAGCAGCGCCCTGAGCGCGCTGCGCGACGCGCGGGGACCGCGGTGCCACCGCGTGTTCCGCGGGGTGCGCGGGGTGCGCTTCGAGGCGCGGCCGGGCCGGACGGTTCGGTTCGGTCACTTCGCTTCGGCCTCGCTGCGGAACGAGAGCTCCTGGAGCTTCGGGATGGACACGGCGTTCCAGGTGAGCACCTGCCAAGGTGTGGACATCCACGAGTTCTCCTTCTTCCCGCACGAGGAGGAGGTGCTGATCCCGCCCTTCGAGACCTTCCAGGTGACGGAGGTGACGCGCGTCACCGCCGGAGGGGACACCGGAGGGGACACCGGGGACACCGGAGGGGTCACGGTGAGGATCGGGCTGCGCTCCACCGGTGTCTTCAGCAAATACAACTGCGAGTGGCTGAGAGGTGACAGAGAGGGGACAGAGAGGGGACAGGGAGGGGACAGCGAGGGGACAGGGAGGGGACAGGGATGGGGACAGGGATGGGGACAGGAACAGGGACGGGGCCACCCCTGCGCTTCTGCTGTCCTTCCCCCCGGCAGAGCAGCGCTGTGGGGACAGGCCCCCCCTTGTCACCTCCTGTCACCTCCTGTCACCCCCTGTCACCCCCTGTCACCTCCTGTCACCCCCTGTCACCCCCCCTTGTCACCTCCTGTCACCTCCTGTCACCCCCCTGTCACCTCCTGTCACCCCCTGTCACCCCCCCTTGTCACCCCCTGTCACCTCTTGTCACCCCCTGTCACCCCCTGTCACCCCTCTGTCACCCCCTGTCACCTCCTGTCACCCCCTGTCACCCTCACTCCCCCCTGTCCCTCTTTGTCCCCAGGTGGGAGTGTCCCCAGGCCCCTCCCCCACCTCGGGTGGCTCCTCCTGGCCACCACAGCCCTGGCAGTGGCCACCGGGACCTTCTGAGCCACGAGGCCACCAAGGACACCGAGGTCACTGCGGCCACCAAGGACACCGGGACCTCCTGAGTGACAGGGCCACCACCATGGTCACTTTGGCCACTGTGGTTGCTGTGGTCACTTTGGCCAGCACAGCCACTCTGGCCACCACGAGCACTGGGGTCACCAAGGCCACCAGGACCCCCTGAGCCACAAGGCCACCACCAGGGCCACCACTGTCACTGTGGTCACTTTGGCCACCGTGGGTATTGGGCCACTGGAGTCACCACTGTCACCATGGCCATTGTGGCCACCGTGGCCGCTGTGACCACTGAGGCCACCATGGTCCCCAAGGCCACCATGGCCACCACAGCCACTGTTGCCACCAAGGTCACCAAGGTCACCATGGCCACCAAAGCCATCAAGGACACTGTAGCCACCAAGGCCACCACGGCCACCATGGTCCCCAAGGCCACCATGGCCACCAAGGCCACCCACCATGGCCACCATGGTCACTATGGCCACCATGGCCGCCAAGGCCACCATGGCCACCATGGTCACTATGGCCACCATGGCCACCATGGTCACTATGGCCACCATGGCCACCAAGGCCACCATGGTCACTATGGCCACCATGGCCACCAAGGCCACCATGGCCACCACGGTCACTATGGCCACCATGGCCACCAAGGCCACCATGGCCACAATGGTCACTATGGCCACCATGGCCACCAAGGCCACCATGGCCACCATGGCCACCATGGTCACTATGGCCACCATGGCCACCATGGTCACCAAGGTCACCAAGGCACCCAAAGCCACCAAGGACACCATGGCCACTGTGGACACCAAGGCCACCAAGGTCACTGTGACCACCATGGTCACTATGGCCACCATGGCCACCAAGGCCACTATGACCACAATGGTCACTATGGCCACCAAGGCCACCATGATCACTGTGACCACCATGGTCACTATGGCCACCATGGCCACCAAGGCCACCATGGCCACCATGGTCACTATGGCCACCATGGCCACCATGGTCACTGTGGCCACCATGGCCACCAAGGTCACTGTGACCACCATGGCCACCATGGTCACCGTGGCCACCAAAGCCACCGTGGCCACAGTGGCCAGGACAAGGGGACAGAGCCATGGTTGCCACCAGGACCGGGGACAGGACAGGGGACAGGACAGGACAGGGGGTGGTGGCCGCCGTTCTTCGCTTTTGGGGATTTTTTATGTCCCTCTCCCGATAATTTTAATTCTTCCGGATAATTAAACTGGATTTGCCTCAATCAAAAAATGATCCTCTCCCTTTGACCCAAATTAAGGGATTTGGGGTCCGGTTTGGGGGATTTAGACCCAAATTAAGGGATTTGGGGTCTGGTTTGGGGGATTTAGACCCAAATTAAGGGATTTGGGGTCCGGTTTAGGGGATTTAGACCAAATTAAGGGATTTGGGGTCCGGTTTGGGGGATTTAGACCCAAATTAAGGGATTTGGGGTCTGGTTTGGGGGATTTAGACCCAAATTAAGGGATTTGGGGTCCGGTTTGGGGGATTTAGACCCAAATTAAGGGATTTGGGGTCCGGTTTGGGGGATTTAGGCCCAAATTAAGGGATTTGGGGTCCGGTTTGTGGGATTTAAACCCAAATTAAGTGATTTAAACTGCAATTAAGAGATTTAAACCACAATTAAGTGTTTTAAACCAGAATTACGGGATTTAAACCAGAATCAAGTGATTTAAACCAGAATTTGGTGATTTAAACCAGAATTAAGGGATTTAAACCAGAATTTGGTGATTTAAACCAGAATTAAGGGATTTAAACCAGAATTAAGGGATTTAAACCAGAATTAAGGGATTTAAGCCAGAATTGAGTGATTTAAACTAGAATCAATTGATTTAAACCACAATTAAGTGATTTAAACCAGAACTAAGCGATTTAAACCACAATTAAGCGATTTAAACCCAAATCAATTGATTTAAACCCGGATTAAGTGATCTAAACCCAAGATAAGCGATTTAAACCCGAATTAAGCGATTTAAACCCAAATCAAGTGATTTGAACCGCAATTAAGTGATTTAAACCACAATTAAGTGATCTAAACCCGAATTAAGCGATTTAAACCCGAATCAAGCGATTTCTGGGCCGGTTTAAGGGATTTTGGCCGGTTTGGAGGTTCGGGGGGTCCCTGTGGGCTCCCATCCCCCCCTCACCGGTGGCTCCTCCCAGTAAAACCAGTTGGGGCCCCCCCACCCAAACTGGGGGCGCTGGGACCCCCCCCCCCGGGTGTCCCCACGGGGAGGGGGAGGGGCGGCTCCGGAGCCCCCGAAATCCCCGGATTTACCTGGAAAATGCCCCAAAACGTCCCCTGGCTCCTCCCCCCCCCCCCCCCGCGGTGCCCTCTGTCCCCTTTGTCCCCAAATGTCCCCTCCCCCCCCCCCGGAGCCGTTGGGATCTCCCGGAAGTTGGGGGTTAATTACCTTAATTACCCCTAATTGGGCTGGGACAATGGGACAAGGTCCCGGTGCCACCTCACGGGGCAAAGTCCTCGTCAGTCACCCTGTCCCCGTCACCCTGTCCCCGTCTCCCTGTCCCTGTCACCCTGTTCCTGTCACCCTGTCCTCGTGGCGTGATGGGGTGGGGTCGGCCGGGCTTGGGACACCCAGAGGGACATGGGGACACCGGGATGGACACTGGGACATCAGGATGGACACTGGGACACTGGGATGGACA